GATCAAGGTCAGGGTCATCAACAACACCCAATATATAAGTTAGAGGGGAATTGCATAAACTGCAAAAGCCGTATCAAGAGTGGATAACTCTCTATGCTAGTACCTGTCAGTGTTTACTCTACTCCTAATAAATAAACATTTTTTTCTATTTATGAAAACAAGCCAGTTTGTGTAAGGAGATTCCCAACTTATTTCCACAAATCAACAAAATAAATAACTTAAGTTCGTTAAAATATAACTGGTGACAAACAAGAAAATATGGGTCAAGATTTCAATAATATTGATCAACACAGATAATCAGAAAAATAAAACCACAGAAAACTCAGCAGAAGGTAACAACATAATGTACAGATTTGACACGTGACCTCTCCCAGCCGACAGATATTCACCAGCTCAAATTTCTACTGCGCATGAACTAACTTGTAATACCATGCACAGAACTGGCTATTAGCCAAGAAGCTATTTAAGGTAAAGACAAACTTCCACTAAGTCGTTTTAATTTTTAAAGTATACATCACAACTAAACCATTGACTAGAAACTGAAATCGGCTTCAAGGAGATATACTCATGCTCATAAGTTTACATAACCTGGCAGAATTTATGATTTCCTGGCCATTTTTCAGAGAATATGATTGATAACACGAAAACCTGAAAACCTTTCTGTCACTCATGGGTAGTGTTTGATAATAAATGGCTTCAGCCAATCAACTGTGTTTTTACTCTTTTTTTCATTCATAATGGCAACAGAAACCCAAATGCCCTGATCAAAAGTTTACATACCCCAGTTCTTAATACGGTGTGTTGCCCCATTTAACATCAATGACAGCTTGAAGTCTTTTGTGGTATGTGTGGATGAGGCTCTTTATCTTCTCAGATGGTAAAGCTGCCCATTCTTCTTGGCAAAAAGCCTCCAGGTCCTGTAAATTCTTGGACTGTCTTGCATGAACTGCACGTTTGAGATCTCCTCAGAGTGGCTCAATGATATTGAGGTCAGGAGACTAAGATGGCCACTCCAGAACCTTCACTCTATTCTGCTGTAGCCAATGACAAGTCGACTTGGCCTTGTGTTTAGGATCATTGTCATGTTGGAATGTCCAAGTATGTCCCATGCGTAGCTTTCCGGGCTGATGCATGAAAATTGTGCTCCAGTATCTTTTGATAACATACTGCATTCATTGTGCCATCAATTCTGACAAATCTTTCCTGTGCCTTTTTGTAGCTCACACATCCCCAAAACATCAGCGATCCACCTCCGTGTTTCACAGGAGGAATGGTGTACTTTTCATTAGAGCTGCAGCTAACGATTATTTTAAAAAGCGATTTAGTTAGCCGATTATTAAGTTCGATTAATCGGATAAAAAGTAATATACATTTTAAAAAATGGCTCCAGTGATGGGACTAGTAGTTTGTATTGAGTTTGCAGTCCATCACAGGAGCAAGCTTGGAGCAGTGGAAGTGAAAAATAAAAAAAAGTGTGGTGTGCAATATAGTGAAATGTAAAGTGTAAAATTATACAGAAATGAATGCAGAATGGCACCAGCTATAGGAGGAATACAACAAATCCCAGCAATAGTACATTATAGCTGGCGGTATTCTGCATTGCGCTGTATAATGTACTATTGCTGGGTTTTGTAGTCCTCTATAGCTGGTGGTATTTGGCATTGCACTGTATAATGTATTATTGCTGGGATTTGTAGTCCTCTATACAGCGCAATGCAGAATACCACCGGTCTATATAGGAGTACAACAAATCCGAGCAATGCATTATACATGCAGTGTATAATGTATTGCTGGGATTTGTATTCCTCTGTATAATATACAGCACAATGTACCATCAGATATATAGGAATACAAATCCCAGTGCAGGGAAAGTGCAGGCTTACCTGAGCAGTCTTCCAGCAACTTGTTTCTGAGATTGGGCCTGTCTATCGGCTGCTGTCATCGCCCTACACCTGCTCCTCCTTACTTCTTCTCCCTGTGTCCCTGTGCCAATCGAGGATGTGGGCGGGCGGTGATCGTGAGGAGGTGCGGCGTGTGGAGTGTGAATGCGGGTGGGCAGGCCTGGCAGTGGCAAGCGTGAGGTGGGGAGGAAGTGTGGCGCGCAGTGTGTGTGGAGCCGTGAACAGGGCCAACCAATCAGAAACCGATTAATCGATGATTGAAAAAGTTGACAACTTTTTCAATAATCGATTATGTCGATTAGTTGTTGCAGCCCTACTTTT